CATAAACAGGAGTTTATCTCGAACATCTGTAAATCCTTGAGAAGCAACATATGACCTTGTGATCGATTCCCATCTCATGAAAGCATCATCAAATCTTCCAAGAGATTGTGGAATGACAAACATAGCTCCTGTATGGTGCATTGCGGATGGTAAGTTCCACATTTCGTCTTTAGCTCCTCGTCGGAAATTCGATCGTCCTCCTGTATAAGAAGGTCTTTCAGGAATGTTAATGGAAGGACCATGTCCTGTGGCTGGTGGATAGCCTGGAGGTCCCATCATTGAATCCTGTGGAGGATTATAATGAGAGGTTACGGCTGATGATGAGGATAACAGATACTGAGGCTGTTGTTGTTGTCTTTTTGCGATCAAAGCCTTCAACTTCGTGATCTGCGGGTATTCTGTTTCTGCTTCTTCCTCCATCATAGCGATAACATTGAGCGTAGAGTCAGAGTCTGAGTCTTCACGTCTATACTCCAAAGCAGCTCTCCCTGTGCTTCCAAATCCTTCAGTGCTCCTCCAGTTGCGAGCATCATTCCTGTCATCATTCCGAATGTCACATAGATTGCGAGCATCTTTCTCCACCATCCTTGGTAAAGAAACCTTCTCGAAAATAATCTGAGCAATTCTGTCACCGGCACGAACTATGAATTCCTCCTGATTGTGATTAAAAAGGAGCACCTTAACTTCTCCTCTATAATCAGGGTCAATCACTCCTGCGCCGACATCTATCCCATGTATTAAAGCAAGCCCAGATCTTGGGGCAATTCGACCATAAAGTCCACAGGGTATTTCCATGGCTATACCAGTGGAAATTAACATTCTTCCTTGAGCTGGGATAACATACATGGCTATTGATGTTAAATCATAGCCTACAGCTCCATCAGTTGCTCGAGTTGGCCTGGTCGCTTGTGGTAACATTTTGATGAATTGAACAGCATCAAATCCTTCATATTCACTCATAGGATAGCAGGTTCGACAAAGTTTTTCCTTTTTCTTGTCCTTCTGCTTCTGTCGTCTAGACCGTTGTGGAGGAGGATAGGATGATTCAGCATCAGAATCGGTTTCCGGTTCCGGATGTGATTTGGATGATCTCCTCCTTTCACCACCTTCCGTTCGCCGTTGAAACTCTGCATATCGAGTGCTGGCTTGTTCCAAAGTCTCTTTGAAGACATTTGGTTGCTCTTCAAAGAATAACAGTGTTTCTTGCCGATTACGGGATTCATTCTGAATAGAATGAGTGTCATCGTCAGATTGCATGGTTTCATTATCATTTGAATCATAATGAACTGGGTCTGCACGTTGAGCCGCTACATAATCTCCGAATCGCAAGCTAAAATTTCCTCCCGGCAAATTTCGAGAGACAGCAGTTGTTGGCTGTTGAGGATGTATCCTTCTGGCTGGTGGTCTTATAATCCAATTACGACCTCGTAAGACATCAGTGGGAACTTGTTCTCCTGGGATGGCTTTGACTCCTCGAGATGTAAGAAATTCAGTTACTCCTTGAATTTCATAAGCAAATCCAACATTGGGAGTATTGGATAATCTTCCGACTAATCCTCGAGTTATCAACAGATTGGCTTCACCTCCTTAAAAGCTGAAGGAATGTTATCCTCTTATTTCTGTCGTATTAAAGATATTTTGTAAAAGAAAGATGCTGTTAGAATGATGAGATTTCTGATAAGGTTCGCGATAGTGCGACGATGAGGTCCAATGAACACTCGGCACGTATCCTCAACCTTATTCCGATTTTATCTCCTATGGTCTATAAATAGAGTCATAAGTTAAGTGTCTCAGGCATCAAGAAAAGTTCCAAAAACTACACTTGGTACTTGAGTAGTCAAGAGAAGTCAAGTTTCGAGTCTTGTAATCAAAAGTTTCAAGAAGTTTCCGCTGTAATAAAATTTCTGTAAGTTTCTATCTAGTTCTTTTCTTACTAGTAGATCCTGTTGTTATCCTGTTGTTTTGCTTCCTCAGATCGATGAACATAAACTCGATGATGAGCATCATCTCGTCTAGTTCTATATAACACTTCTGCTGGTGCTATATTCGCTCTTTCCGCCATGGATAACTGTAACTGCACTTCTGGATAGATCTGCTGCTCCAAAGTGTTTGATGTTGAGGGGCGTCCCCTTATTCGTTGAAGTGCGTTTCTTGCTCTTCTCTGCAAAACATAATTTCGTCGTTGGTCCTGACGATATTCTCTGATCTGGTCTTCAAACAGTGGTGCTCCAGGTGTTGCTGTTGTTGGCCGTGGTTGATTGGTAACTCGTGGTAAGGTCACCGTTCGAGTTCTTGAGGTTGAGGCCATTATGAGTTCTTGAGTCCGAGTTTGTCAAGCTCCTCCTGTAGCAACTTGTTTGGATCCCGATGAACTCTGAGAAGTCCCTTTCCTTCCTTTGGCTTCTCCTTTGGTCCAAGTGAGAGATTTTTGATTTTTGCAACAAGATCGTCAGTTGATAGTGCTGGAGACTTTTGGGCTTCCAAAGCTCGAATCCTTCCTTTAAGCGCTTTAACCTGTTTTGACAATCTTAGACAAAGTTCAATTATAGTATTATTTTGGCGAATCAGGGTTTTTACTCCTGATGGTATGGACAACTTGTCAGAGGAAGTTGATAGGCCGATTCCTGGTGCTTCTGTTGTTTCAGATGCCTTGAGAGCTTCCAAATACACCAAATCGTTTTGACTCATTCAACCAATGCTCTCTTGAGCTGTTGAAGAGTCCCTTCTATCGATCTCAGCTGTTGTTCTTCCTTGTTCCACGACTTGCTTTCGAGGAAAACTTGAGTTAAGGAATTAATTCCTTTTTCAAGTTTCTCTACCTTTTTGTCAAGCTGCTGAATTGAGGTTTCTAGGGACTGAATTTGAATTTGTTGGCTTCTAAATTCTTTCAAATTAACCTTACTTGAGAGACAAACACGATCATAAATTACAGCGATATTGTGAGCTAGTTCTTTAGTGGATGGCTTACTGATGATTGCAAGATCAAGGTAGTTTAGGCGTGAAGTCTCGGATTTTTCATACCATTCTTTAATGTTTTGTTCCCATATATTTGACATAGCATTCTACTGGTCTGAGTAAAAATATATTAACTAGTCTGAGCTATCTGGATTACCAAATTACCAAAAGGAAGCGCTATAGACTATATTTAAGGTTCAAGGTCCAAGTAGTCCTTACCAGTTAAATTCTTGTTCACCACAGGGTTTCACTGGACTTACTCCTCTCTGCCAGATATAGGGCCTGTGTCTTTTACTTAAATCTTAACTTCAAGGATTATACTGCCTTTAGAAACTTAAATATAGAAATCATGCTATACCTTTTTATAATTTTGAGAACTTCAATAGCCTTTGCCTTGGTTAATATACGGTTACCTTTGCCCTGGCAAAATACTAATAACAAAGATATAGTTTAAACAGTAAATAAAGCATAATTAATCCTTCAACAACAGAGGCCTTCACTACCCTGATAGGTGTTTACGCTATAATAGCCATATGTAAACTAACTAGCTCTGATACCAAACAACAGGATCTACTAGTAAGAAAAGAACTAGATAGAAACTTACAGAAATTTTATTACAGCGGAAACTTCTTCACCCTTCAATTTCTTATTTGCCTTTGACTTTGAATTTATACCATTGAACTCAACAGTATATGTGTTTTCTTCCAAGGCTTCAGCTGGGACGGATTCAGAGTCTACGACGCAAGTTGTTGCTCCTGTATCAAGAATTGCGTGTAGTGGGATCTTCTGTAATCCTGGAATTTCTAGTTCTATATAGGGGATAATTGGTTTCGAATCCCTTATACATACAGTTTCCCATTCCACCTTGGAGGAAGAATCCAGATGATTATCGGGTGCAACTTCCTGGGTACTATAAGGAACCAGAGAAGAAGTATGGTGTTCGAAAGGCTACCACCTATAAAGGAAAGCCACATAGTTCTCATGTCAGAATTGACAAGAGAAAGTATTTGCAAAAGTCAAAAAGTTTGAAGAAGTTTACAGGAGTTTATCTCGAACATCTGTAAATCCTTGAGAAGCAACATATGACCTTGTGATCGATTCCCATCTCATGAAAGCATCATCATCACTCGAAAGGCTCCAATCCCTTACAATCAAAAGCCATTGTTGCAAGAGCAACAAGAGTACATCCGGTGGTGTGAAGCTGAAATGAAGAGGCTCCGGGAAGAAGCCATTCAATACAAGACAGAGCTTGAAGAACTCAAGTGATTCCCTTGTTCTATGCGATGTAAAACTTGAAGTCTGATTTGAACAACTCCAAGATGAATGTATTGCATATGACTCCTTCGTAATTCCTCATAGCTTTCTTCCTGGATAAAGGGCCTTTCAATTTGCGTTTCTCCCACGCAAAGTATAGCTTCCTCAGATCGATGAACATAAACTCGATGATGAACATCATCTCGTCTAGTTCTATATAACACTTCTGCTGGTGCTATATTCGCTCTTTCCGCCATGGATAACTGTAACTGCACTTCTGGAGAGATCTGCTGCTCCAAAGTGTTTGATGTTGAGGGGCGTCCCCTTATTCGTTGAAGTGCGTTTCTTGCTCTTCTCTGCAAAACACCCAGGGATAGGAATCTCCCTGCAGAAGTCCAGATTTCGAAGTGACTTTTGGAATGCCGCATTCTTACATTCAGCTTCCAAATATTTGTATGCATAAAGGATCCGAGGAACGACGCCAATTGTATTTGCTCCATGTCGTTCTGCAAATCCTTTCTTGATTCGTTCTCCAAGGTCACCTGGCATTTTTTACCATAGTTTAGAGGATAACTCTTCTCCAACAAATAATCTTCCTGACTTTGTTGCAAGATGTAAGTAATCATTTAAAAACTTTATGATATCCTTCACATCTCTACACGAAAGCTCTTGCATGTGGTGCATTCTGGTCTTCGATCTTCTGGTAATGGGTTTTGCTGATCCCATTCATGTTGACAGTGGTAAATTTCTGGAGAGACCTTAATTTGAGCCCTGTATCCTCCTTCCTTGCCAAGCCAATAGGATTTATCAGCTTCTCGAAGCTTCTTCTTGCATCAGAGTCGATCCTTGATAAGGGTCTTCCAAAGTAAACACAGTTCTCATTTGAGAAATGATGTTCTGTGTACCTTCATTCCCATCGCCTATGGCTACAAGATTAGCATATTCATCTGCATATCTCATTCGCCATTGCGTCCAAATCAGCTTCTCCGTTTCTCCAAGAAGATTCTCCATAAACAGGAGTTTATCTCGAACATCTGTAAATCCTTGAGAAGCAGAAGCTGCTCAATATGTTTCTTGAAACTCTCCTTCATTGCTGGCGTTATGTGCTTCATTGGCCTGTCATTGATTATAAAATCAGGGTTCTTCAGGTCCAAAGTGGAAAGTTCAATCCCATCAAATCAACAATTGATGCTGAAATCTACGCATGCATGAATTCTCTGGAATCCTTCAAGATATATTATCTTGATAAACAGCAGCTAACTCTAAGAACTGATTGTCAGGCCATAATCAATTTCTTCAACAAAACAGTGGATCATAAACCGTCGCGGTCCAGATGGATAGCCTTCACAGATTATATCACAAGCTTAGGCATAGATGTATCCTTAGAACACATTAATGGTTCTGATAATACTCTAGCTGATGCACTTTCAAGGCTTGTATATCCTGTTGTTATCCTGTTGTTTGGTATCAGAGCTAGTTAGTTTACATATGGCTATTATAGCGTAAACACCTATCAGGGTAGTGAAGGCCTCTGTTGTTGAAGGATTAATTATGCTTTATTTACTGTTTAAACTATATCTTTGTTATTAGTATTTTGCCAAGGCAAAGGTAACCGTATATTAACCAAGGCAAAGGCTATTGAAGTTCTCAAAATTATAAAAAGGTATAGCATGATTTCTATATTTAAGTTTCTAAAGGCAGTATAATCCTTGAAGTTAAGATTTAAGTAAAAGACACAGGCCCTATATCTGGCAGAGAGGAGTAAGTCCAGTGAAACCCTGTGGTGAACAAGAATTTAACTGGTAAGGACTACTTGGACCTTGAACCTTAAATATAGTCTATAGCGCTTCCTTTTGGTAATTTGGTAATCCAGATAGCTCAGACTAGTTAATATATTTTTACTCAGACCAGTAGAATGCTATGTCAAATATATGGGAACAAAACATTAAAGAATGGTATGAAAAATCCGAGACTTCACGCCTAAACTACCTTGATCTTGCAATCATCAGTAAGCCATCCACTAAAGAACAAGCTCACAATATCGCTGTAATTTATGATCGTGTTTGTCTCTCAAGTAAGGTTAATTTGAAAGAATTTAGAAGCCAACAAATTCAAATTCAGTCCCTAGAAACCCCAATTCAGCAGCTTGACAAAAAGGTAGAGAAACTTGAAAAAGGAATTAATTCCTTAACTCAAGTTTTCCTCGAAAGCAAGTCGTGGAACAAGGAAGAACAACAGCTGAGATCGATAGAAGGGACTCTTCAACAGCTCAAGAGAGCATTGGTTGAATGAGTCAAAACGATTTGGTGTATTTGGAAGCTCTCAAGGCATCTGAAACAACAGAAGCACCAGGAATCGGCCTATCAACTTCCTCTGACAAGTTGTCCATACCATCAGGAGTAAAAACCCTGATTCGCCAAAATAATACTATAATTGAACTTTGTCTAAGATTGTCAAAACAGGTTAAAGCGCTTAAAGGAAGGATTCGAGCTTTGGAAGCCCAAAAGTCTCCAGCACTATCAACTGACGATCTTCTTGCAAAAATCAAAAATCTCTCACTTGGACCAAAGGAGAAGCCAAAGGAAGGAAAGGGACTTCTCAGAGTTCATCGGGATCCAAACAAGTTGCGCTACAGGAGGAGCTTGACAAACTCAGACTCAAGAACTCATAATGGCCTCAACCTCAAGAACTCGAACGGTGACCTTACCACGAGTTACATGAATGGGATCAGCAAAACCCATTACCAGAAGATCGAAGACCAGAATGCACCACATGCAAGAGAGATTTATCCTCATACT